AAAAAAAAGGAAAGTTGCGATTGAAATCGCGCGAGAGGCAGAAGATGAGCCCCTGGCGATAAAACCTCTCGCGATTCAATCAAACTCCTTCCGCGTACGAGGTGAAACACGCATGCGGCATGGCATTGTCACCGTGGCCGCTGCGCATTAATACAATGCTGGGCGGTTAACCCATTTGCGGTAACCGATCGATATGCGTACTCGTATAAGGGCGAGGATACGTAACAAGCTGCGAAGAGAGAGCACAGGGGTCGTTATCCGCTCGCGGTCGCTCTTCTCCACTACGTACACCTATGCGAGTGTGCGAGTCTTCCTAGAGCGAGAGCCGGAGATCTAATTTTCCACATTGATCGCGAAATATGGGCTGGGCGACGTGCAGAAATCGAAGACATCTCTAGCTGGCGCGACGAGCCAGTGAGAAAAAGAGAAAGCGTATACACACAGACCAAATTATCTCATCTTCCCAGCTAACAGTCCCCGCGAGAGAGTAGCTCCGCGCTCTACAGATATTAATTTAGATTAGATTGATAAAGGACTTTACGTAACTGTGCGCCGCCGCCGCCGCCGCCGCCGCCGCCGCCGCCGCCACCGACGTCGTACGGCGATTGAGTAACGCTAATGGACCCCCGGGCCGACATTGCACACCGAGCATGGATCCGTTAAATTTCGCGGCTATTCTTCGTCGTCTTCGCGCGCATAGAGATTGAGTCAATGGGTGATTGAACAGATCGACGCGATACACCACGGTGATACAACCGACACGGCGACGAGTAGCAGTGGCTAGTTTTACGTTAACATCGATTCGCGGAGCTTCTTCGCTCTCTCGCTGTGAAATTTATTTGCCCCGATACGCGCAGTTCTTTTCTCGCCAACAGCTCTTAAGATAAGACTTTCAATCGAACGCACGTGTTGAACAAGTCTGAAAATCTCAATAGTACTCGCGAGATTTCGCGAGGATACGATAATTCGTGAAGAAGAAAATCGAACGTTAATTAATTGAATAAGGTCCTGAGTAGAGCGAGCCGATGGACGGTGCAGGGTCGAAGCACTCGACGAGAAGGTTAATCAGTCAGCCACCTCTTTCCTCTGCAGTTTTCCCGACCAAATATCAAAGCGGTTGAATTGTATTTTAATACGAGGGTTTTGATCGCGATACGCCGCGAAAGGGCGTCCCACAGCCTGCCCGCGACTACAATGACACTTGACGACGGTCAGTCGCCGATCGCTACGGCGGGCATAAAATTGGCCTTTGATTATTGCAAGGCTTGCATTATTCAACTGCGTCGGATGAAAAAAGAGCGCGCGGCTGAGTCATCGCGACGCACAGACGCGGCTTAGCTTTTTCATTGCGTCTTTGTTGCCCGCCGATGACACACTCGCGCGGCGAACTGAATCATCCCGACGTCCTCTCATCTGGCTCGCCCTGACGACTCGATTTTGGCGCTCGACACTGAAGAAGCCGTGGCGAAGCTCCTTGACGCTGTTCGCTCGACAATCAAGCGCTCCCGGCGGCAAGTCGGCGGCAACGCGAGCTCGCGCGCACGCCGTGGCTTGCTCGAGATGCAATCGCGCGTGGCGCGAGCGCAACCGAGCTGCGAATTCCTTCGGCAATCGTGAAATGCCGATCTTATTGGATTTCGGCGAGGGGGCTTTGCCCACGTGTGAACGCGCGCCTTATTTACGACGTAGCCGTACAATTACGTATTAATCAAAATTATGACTTCTGATGAAGATATTCGCAATTCGCATGGCGCGCTCACTGCGGCACGGAGCGCAGTGATAGTTTCGTTTGGAGGCAGTGCGCAATCGGCAATTTGTAAAAACACCCGACAATCTAATTTCGAGATAGCAGCGTCACTCGGTCTTCGTTTTACGTTCTTTTGAATGATGAAGATCTCGACTACCGGTGTATTGACCCTCGTAAAACACTTTAAACGATTGGTGGCAGTGCTACGTTCATAAGCGAAGCGTCTCTAAATGGGCCTCGTTAAAGCCGCCGTGAGCGCTCTGTCATTTTGGGAGAGTGGCACGATGGCACCTACACGTGCTTGCGAGTTTCCTTCTCTCTATACGCGCGTGCGCGTACACTTGTACCGCTAGATCCGAGCCCACAAAGCTTACGGGCGCGTGGCTAAGCCCACGGAGAAACTGATGCGCCTCGTATGATAATGAAGCCGGCTATTCGTCTCTCGACGCGTCGTTTATTACGCGCCATCGCGCGTTCTTCTGGCGCTTCTAACGTGCTACGTGCTTTTTTCTCCTTCGCTTTGTTTTTTCTCGAGAAACTACCGCACTCGGAGTTGAACCGCCATTTTTCAGGACGAATAGTCGATTGGCTTGTCATCGCGAGCAGCTCAATTAGAGCACAGCTCGCGTATTTGCAGCTTAGAGGAATTATTGTAGACTGCGTCTCGATCTTACGAGGAGAATATACCGAGCTAACAGTCAGTTGCTGATAAATAAAGAAGCTTACTGGAACTCCGCGTCCGAAAACCGTCTGCGCTTCGTCAAGCCACTCGTCGAGCCGTACGCGCGATAACATCGAGACGCCATCTACGTATCATATCAAGGCGATATTCAAAGCAGAGCCAGGCGATAACGCGCTCTGTAAATGGTATCCACGCGGCTTGTGCAATAGTGAACGTACAGCGGATGTCAAACTGCTCGCTCGCTCGCTCGCTCGCTCGCTCGCTGGCTCGTTGCTCGCCCGCTCGAGTCGCGTGTTTTAGTTCGGACTCGCGCGCGCGCGTAGAAAGCGTATCCTTACAAAAGCGCGCGGCACCCCATTGACGCACTGCACGTGCGGCTTAATTCGCGACCAGGAAGTCTAATCGCGACGGTTGTACACATTCGTGCCGACGAAAAACCCGGAAAAACGCTCGTACAACGACACTTTCATTGTATGTATATGCGCCACGCGAGCACACCGCAGTACCTTGAATCGAATTGTATATGTGTGTTACAAGCTTTTTCTCTCTCTCTCTCTCTCTCTCTCTCTCTCGCTCTCGTTCCCATTTTTTCCCTGTCTTGATCTCTGGGCGTCTATCCGTATTCAGTCGAGCTACTACATCTTAATTTTCGGATATGCAAATTAACAAATCTCGATCCAATTAGGTTGGCGTCAGTTCTGTATACTGCCCACGAGAAAATTCAGTCGCCGCGTCACGCTGACACTGATATAGATACTTGTAATACACGCTTTAGTGAGCAATGTATTGCAAAACGATGAATTCATTATTTTTTCATAAGCCAGATTATAAGCTCATCTGGGAATCATGTTGCTGCCAGCCCAGAATATCGACAAAGAAGTGTTGCGCGGATGAGAGCTGCCATTACGTCCACATTCGATTTGGATCAAGTTGTTGTATTTTTGTTGTTGTTCTTGCTGGTCGATATTCCGCTTCGTTGAAGATTAAAGACACTGACAGGAAGAGAAAGAAAATCGCCAGTTGCTGACGACAATGAAACGATCGTATGGCAAGGTCGAAAATCACGATACCGTCCTTGGGCTGCACTGCGACATCAGGCGCGAATCAGATCCGCCCGTAGTTACGTCGTCCGTGAACATCTCGATAGCTGTAATCGCTCGCCTCCGACACTCGCGAGTCCAGCTTGACCGAAAGCTTGGGTGTGCAATAACAGACGTGCGCCGAGGAGTGAGCAAGAAAGCGACAAGAGCTGGCGAGAAGGAAAAAAAACAATCGCGGCGTGCGAGCGTACTAATCGGCGAGGGAGAGATAGGCGTCAGAAGCAGCTTTTTGTCGCTCGTGTGTGGCAACTCGTATAACTCTCTTTCGCCGCTAATAGGCTGGCGGGCGTCGGTCGCGGCCACCGGCTTCCATTGTAAAAATCCTATCCGAACAATCGGCGAGTGATCGATCGGGATATTGCATGAGTGACGCTTATCAGTCGCGGTGGCAGCGGCGACGGCGAAAGTGAAATCACTCTTTTTTTCTATACGCTTCACGCTGTACTTGACTGGAATTCGAAGTAGGTTTCATTGTAGCCGAGCGCACGCCGACTCCTATTGTTGTGTACCGCCTGGTAATTTTACGTTGTAATGTCGTTCATATTGACGTAAGACTGACTGGTATTTACAAGTTCGTCCGAATCGTTATGAAATGCGCACGCGCTCGCGAACGCCGTTTCTTTCGAGATCGCTGCCGCGTACGCGACAATCGTTTCAGCAACGAAAACGCTCATCTGTCCGCAGTTGATTTGCATCTTGACTCGCATCTATCGCTGCCGAGCGGATATCGATAAAAATCCAAAGTCTCTTCAATTACGAAGAGTTGCGTAGGGCAAGTTGCTGGAGAACGGCTGTCGATACATCGTAGTGTTATTAATTGTTATCCGACGATCTATTCAATGGATCGATATTTCATATAACGAAATTTATGTATATAAGCGCGCAGATGCGGTCAGGAATCGGCGCGGCTGGGGCGGCTGACCTTGTCAAGTTCGGAAAGGCCGCGCTCATTCCGCATTCCAGGTTTGAGGTGTTCTTCGATTGATGTTGACCAATCGCTGTCATTTCGCGCTCGTCTCGATTAGTCTAGATCGCCACGAGATGAGACTCACCGATTTTGAAATGCCCTCTCATACTCACATTGTTGGATCAGAGCGAGGCCCACCTTGGCCTGCGGCGATGAGTGATCCTTTACCAAATCTAAAACAACGCCGATGGGTAGCGACGTGCGTATACGCGTCATTGCTATGGCTCTCGATCTTCTACGTTTAAGATGGTTTGATGACCACGCTGTGCAGAAACAACTTGTCCAAGGCTTCTCTGGGACTTCATTTTCTAGTGATCGATCTACATTTCTCCAAAACATTTGTCTTAGTAAATCTGCATTCATTAATTCTAATTTCATTTTTTAAGCTTTAATGTGGTACTCTAATTTATAAATTAATTAAAAATTAAAGCAAACATTAACTCAGCAGTCGATCAAATTCAAATTTATTTTTGAAATAGTCGAATCTTTTTGAAACCGTACATTTCTCAATAGTTTTTTTCCACGACTGCTATGGATTTTTGAACAATTATGCTTTGACTTCTTCGATGCTGCCATCCTCTTTAAATCGAAGATTATACTCCCGAAAGTGAAGAGGGTCACAAGACATACGACTAAACCACAGTCTATAACCTTCTTTATAAAACTCAGGTAAGGGCTCAAAATTAGCTGCCTTAGCTAGACTATCCAAGTAATACCACCAGTAATCTAGGGATTTACTCGATTTTATATTCTCTAGTATATCGTCAGCCTCTTGAAACATTTTTTCATGGTTTGGTAAGTCTACTTTACCTTGAAGATGAGCTACAAAGTATTTAGCCTGCAAAATAGACGCAATATTGTAGATTTTTTACTATATCTGCGCTGGAATCGTTAAAGCGTTCATTTACCTGAGAAGCAAATTTTGGACAAAACGGTCTGATTGTAGGGAAAAAATGAATGAAACCCATAGTTGGATGTTCAATATTAACGATTTGCTTATACACCGGGTATAGATATTTTTTTCGAATTTCCACACCGCTTCTCTTATCTAAAAATGGAACATCGTGATCGAATCCTGTACACAAAATAAGAGAATCCGCAGTTATTGAGGTATTATCACTGAGAATTAGATTGCTTGTGTTGGCTGCAACGATTCCCATTACTTGTATTACGTTCGATGGCATTTCGGTCGTAATTCTGCAAGAAATATCTTAGTTTACAATTTAATTATAAGATAATAAGAGTAACTTGATCGTTTATGTCGAACTCGTACTTACTTATCATGTCGATGACTTAAATAGATTTTGTTTGCATATTTACTCAACTCAAAAGCAATATCTTTGCCAGATATTGATGCTCCCAATATTGCAACGGTTTGCCCAGTAAAATCTTCAGGTCGACGATATATATGGCTATGCAGTACGCGACCGGGAAATTTTTCAATACCTAGAATGTTGGGGATTGAGGGTTTGGTATATGGCCTGTATAATCAAAATTATATATATATATATATATATATATATATGTATATGTATATGTAGATTTATGTATGTATGTATTTGATTATAGTATTATTTTAGTAAATATATAGTACTTGAATTAAGAAAACTCGTTGAGTAAAAAAAGTGTTATCACTATCAAAATCAAAATTTACCCAGAGCATACCATGACACCGTCGCAAATTAATTTGCTGCTAAAGTTTGTGTTTAACTTTTTTATTTTTACGAGCCATTTGGTCACATTATGGTTGGATAATGGGATAACTTTTTCCACCATGGTATCAAACTAAAATATCAAATTTTGTTGCCCTTGAAAGATGATTTATTATTTACAGAGGCGATAAAATTAAAAATATCAATTTAATTACATTACATGAATATATTGTCGAAGGTTGAAATGATCAGTGTAGTTTCTTAGATACGATAACAAAGTTGTATGATTTACGTAGCTGCTATCTTCACCATTAAAGTTTCTGTAATCCGGACATGCCATAACTTGTTTAGGAATATTTGTTCTACAATGAGATATTTTTTATTAAATAAGTATGAGTGAAATTAAAGTAGAAGTGGACAATAATGTAATAGTTTAGTCTTCAGAAATATTTAAAATTAAAAACAAATAATAGTACCTTAGGTATTTATATATACTACTGTGAACAGGCAATCTATGCTCGTCAAAATCAGTGTTATCACTATAAATCCATTGTCCACCAATGTCTGAGCTTCTTTCAAAGCCTATGGGTTCAAACATATCTAGTTTTTCAGCGACTTCTTTCAACGAAGCAATTCCACTCGGGCCTGCTCCTATTATACAAACTCTTTTTTTCCGTAAATTGGATTGACCATTGGTAAAAATGAGGAGTAATGAAACCATCCAAGTACAAATCCACCTCATGATTATACTAAATTACAAAAATATTGATTGTAGTGCGATTTGAAACTTTTAATTTAAAAAATGGTGTATAGTTGTGATATAAATCACATTAGATTTCTTTAGACTCTATTTAAATTTTAATCAGCTTTTTAGCTACTCAACTTTTTAGCAATATTACAAATAGGCCCATTAAATAAGAATTTTCACCTACTCGTTGAACGTGTTGACTACAAGTGAAACATTGATTTCGATAATAATTGTAGCATACCGTACTATGTAGACAAAGTGTTAATAATGCTAAAATTTCAACACAAACTTTATACAAAGCATGCTACGATTCAGTTATTATCATCGCGACGTAGCAGTTGAAGTTTAATAATTCTTATCATATATCATAAGTCTACTTGTAACGCTGTAAGATAAATTAATTGTATGTTTATTGCTTCAGTCATCTAAAAGGCTAGCCAACGATTACACACATAATTATTTTACACATAAACTATTATGCACACTAACATGACGTTCATGCTAATTCACGCCTTATTGCTATTTATGTATAAAATAATTATGTGCACTTATTTGCAATGTTTTGATTGATAGTGTTATTTCTTGTCAAAAAAATTTAAATATCTAAAAAATATTTAGACTAAAAATGGAAAATGTCGCTAAGTTTTTCGGAACTGACTTTATAAAATAAGAAATTTTCTATCTCCCGGCATATCAGTTAGTAGCAAATACGCGCGCAATACGCACTATTCTAAAATCGTTTAATAATGATATTTAATGCCTACTAAACTTACTTTCTCTTTAGATTATACACTAAAAATATCTACCAGATATTCAATCGGCGTAAAAAGATGCGAAGAAATTTCGTAAAATGTTATAAACTAAAATTCTCTGCGCGATTTTCTAATTCTGCTTCATGTGACAACGATTGAATTTTCTATGTAAAGTATCTCGAATCTGGAATACCTGTCAACTGTTCATACTATATAACAATAATTTATCATTCTGATAAGGTATGAAGACCTTGTGGTGCGATGTTATAAAAGAAATGAAAATATTGTTTTATCAGGATATTGTACAAAAAATATAAAGTCTACTGATATTGTAGAGCTAGTTATTATTTCACTAAGTTCTCATCAGTTCGAAATATCGAGTCTTTTAATGCAGAAAGCAATGTAAACAGCACGAATAATCATCATAAATTTCAATTAATACTTACTCGGTTTTAATAAGCAATAGCAAAGAATAGGCCAACGTTTTAATAATAAGATTAGAGATGTGCTCCTCGATCGTAGTGCAAATATTTACTGACTACTACTGAAAGGATGAGCTGCCTTTAATTCAACTGAAGAAACAGGCCGTCCAAGGTCAACGGCCAAATGGTTGTTTGAAGGAAAGCTTAAAATAGAATAATTTATTCATGTTTAACGACACAAGCTATATTCTTCGAACACTTATGATACTCTCAATAACACTGATTTATGTAGCCCAATACACAATAAAAGTATCATAATTTTTGTATTCAATTGATGTAATGAGTAAATTGAGAAATGAATTCTCTGACGGGGTATAATACTATCCTAGTTATTTACTTAAAAGTTTGCTCTTGAATAATAAAACGATATTTACAGTTCTCAATTTCTCGCTGAATGTTGACATACAGTGACATTATTGATGATATAGAATCGGCAATGGACTACTTGAGAATCCGTGACTTAACAATAACAAAAGTTTTCTTAATGGAATTCTTTCATATCCAAAATAAAACTAACTAACGAACAATGTTTTAGCAAATGGTAAGCGTAAATTTACAATGCTTTTCAGAATTAAAATGTGTTACAGCAAGATAAAGTACGTGCCTCGTTGTACCGAAGAAATCGCAGGTCAACTCGATTCAATAACCGATATGAAATTAACATAAATTACACATTGCGTACGTAGATGAGTGAATACATGCAAGATATTGACTGCACCTCTGCGACTGGTCTGTCGATAGTAATCGAAGTGAATCTTACGAGTATAATAAATAACGGCTAGCTTGCGCCAGTTGTTGTTCGCGTATAATAACGAACAAACGATGCCTTATCGATGTCGCAATATTTGTAAGGAGAAATGTTTGCAACGACTATTGGGTGAACGGTCAGCTGAATGTTAGAGCGCGTATTCGGGCGTTGGTGGTGGGTGTAAAAACCAAAGGAAAAGCAGGAAAGAGCGAGGGTCGGAGCAACGCACAGGTTGCACAGTTAAACGTCGACAAGACAAGTCCGAGAAGCTGTCTGTAATAGCGACTAAACGGCAGTTAACAGTGGGCTTGCGACAGACGTGCGCGCCGAGAGAAGTTCGCCTCCGCGTATTGTCAGTCGCTTATGCACGGGCGCGTAAGTGACCATTGAGGGGTGGGCAATGTTTCGAGCAAGTTTTAACGCCGTCTTTAGCGAGAGCGCCGCCACCGAGCCGCGAAACAAGCGGCCTGGTAAATGTCGAGGAGAGCCTAGCGCCTCGTAAAAAGATACCTCGCGGGAGCAGCTATCGGGTGAACCTTCAATTTTGCTGCTACGCCGAGAGTCGTTTCCAGCAGTTACCAAGGAATGCCGAAAATTCTTTTTGCATGTTTCAAAAGTAAAAAGTTTAACTGGCATTTCGCGAGCTGAAATCATTTGGATGGTGTCGACACGCTCACGCACACGGTCGCATGATTTCACTCAAACGTTTGAGGAAATTCAGCCGACTCGAGCGTAATTATTATCATTTATATTAATCGACTTCTATTTAATTCTTCATTACGTATTCATTAGATGCATACGATTGTTATTTATGTACGTGTCCGAGTATCATTACAAGCAGTATTACGTGTTTTAATCAATACACACAGAGAGTCAAATGTATACATAAGATAAATTGGGCGGTTGATTATCTTATCGAGCGATAAAAGCAAAATGAATTTGCAGGTAACGTCGTTGCCGGTTTTGCGTGCAAGATATCGCGTGCATCGCCGCGAGGCACCGCGCGCAGCGCAAAACCAGACGGGAAAGAAGAAGAAAAATAAGGCAGCGGTGTAATAGTGGCTCGCGCGCATCGGCCAACGAAAATCGACAGCACGTCGCGCAAAGAGAGCAAACGTCCCGGCCGGCCGAAGTCGCAACCGCGAAAAAGGAAAGAATAAGGCGTGGAAGGAAGAAAGCAAAAGAGAGCGGCGGCATTGCAAACGGTTCGGTTTGCATTGCGCTCGCAGCGCACACACGGCTACTCTGCGTCGGCAATTACCGCCGGGCGAGAGAAACTCGGTCGGCGAAAAGCCGAGCGTAGAAAAAAGGAAATAAGAAAGAGCCGCTCTCGGCTCGGCGAGGCCGCGAGGAGAGGAAGCACTGCTATACGCGCGCATATCTATATGCCTATATAAAGCCTAAAGCTGAATCACTTTGCGCAGCGAGCGGCGTGCGCGCACATGCCCTCCCTGGCCGCAACGTCGACCGGCTAATGAGCTGCCCGATTGATTTGCTCGCCGGCGATTCCTGGTTTAGCGCTCCTCGAGCAGAGTTCTTTATCGCTTTATTTCCTTCCACGTCGCAGGCACCAGTCAGTTTTCCATGCACATCTCGTTGCTTCGCGGACATCGGGAAACAGTCTCTCGATTGTCTTCCATTGGGCTCTCACTGGATAACTTACTCCCGGCTTCATTTGCATGAAATCGAGGGGATCGGACGATAAACCAGCTGCTGAGAACGCAAAATTGCAGGTCTTCGGATGATTTACACATCTGGGCGGTCACTTCGATATCGATGTAAGCACTTTGTGTTCCACTTAATAAGCCAGTTAATCCAAACTCAATCGGCAATCAAGTGGTGCGGGCCAGTCCCGACAATGAAGAGCTTCGCGGTAGTGGTTCTTTTGTCGAGCATTCGCTGTTATTGCGAATAAATAACGCCGAAGCAAGATTTAAGAGAAGGATGAGTGGCCCGAGCCAAATTAAATGATTTACGAAGGAGCCAGAGGCGATCAGCCCTCGCCGATTTTTCGGCTTCTTTGTGACAAACGCGTTGAATTTACGCACCGTTCGAGCGAAAAAAATGTGCAAGTCCTTTCGTGCCATCGCGTTTCAAGCTCTCGTTAGCATTCAAAAGAGCGGCTCGACGTTTATGTGACACCTGACAGCTTGCTTCGCGCTGACGCCAATAAAGATCGCAAAATCATCGCGGAAGATATTCCTATGGGCACGTATGCGCGCTTTGTCCTCTCACTGCGGACGACGGACGCAATGCACTCGTCGTGACAGTTTCGTCCGAATTTCCAATCTTTGGATGCACATTGATAGCCTTGATCCGCATCGCCGTCAAGATTACCCTTCGCTTCTCTCCTCCTGTGCAAGCCGATGCATCGATCTTTTTGTCTCTGTTTGTCGCCTCTGATGGCCCCGAAGCGTCATTGGTCGGGCCTTATTCGGCAAACTGCACACTCGCTAACGATTTTCTCGCGGCAGTTTTTGGAAAGTTGATGCTAACGAGTGTACCGAAGTCCTTGGCAATAAAAAAACAAACGCGCCTTCTGTGAATCACACAACCGTGCGAGCAACGTCCACACCGGAAACTGCATAAAAATGTTTACAGCCGCGTTAAATATGAGAAATGCAGTGAAAAAAATGTTATACGAATCAACGCTCGGCGGTACATGAGTGCGATAACTATTTCAGTAATTGTAAATTCAACCGTCGCTTTGGCCGAGCATTGAATGTCGCCAGGTGCCTTGTTTTTCTCTTCGTTTGTAATAAGTCTCATTGAGCGCGACACGGCGATGTCGCAAAATCCGGCGATGTCGCCAGGTTTCCTGAAACTTTCGTCGCCGCCCACGCCTCCGCTCGTCCTCGTTCCGCAACAAACCGCCCAATTAATTATCATCTCGTCGAGACGGAGTAGGAGGAGAGAAGTTCTTGGCTTACTTGGCGCTCGGAGTCTGCTCGCAAATCTCCCCTTAGAAAACTACCCGAGCGGTTCAATTTGTCGGCATGACAGGCGAAAGGCGATTCAAAATGCGAACGGTCGTTGGCACGCTTTCGTATCGACGCTCCCCCAGTGACGATAGGCACCTTTAATTAAAGCTCGCGACGACTCGGGCTGTTCGTGCGTCGCTGTGCCGTGGCTGTGTCGTCGTTATCCCCGCTCGCGCGCGTCTACACCCAAGTGTAACGTTTACCGTTGCGTATCGGCGCGTAATAGTATGTACATTCGGCGTGCGCGCGCTCGCTGATTGCATATTTATGCCTGCTATCGGCAACCTCCGCGCTGGCTGTTTACAAAAGTTGTCAAATTGGCCTCAATCGGCAGAGCTATAATTTGCGTCTGGCGAAAATAAAGCTCGTTAATTTGGCAGTCGGCGAATTAAACGAACGGCAGCGCTTAACGAAGATAAAACGAGCAAAACTCATCGACAATACTCCTCGCGCAAACATGCATCCAATTATTTATGAAATTTCTTACACAAAAACACGCGCGCAATCTGTGCTGCCGTGCTATAAATACGTTACGTAAGCCATGTGCCGCGCGCGTTCTTTCCCCCAAACAAAAGCCGAGCAGCCGCAGCGCACGGGAGTGGGGGCGCCGCGATATATACGTACATTCCTCGGGCGTATCGCCGATCGAAGCTCTCAAGTTCATTAATTAGTAATCCCCGGCGAGAAAAGCGACGGGCGTAGAGGCTCATTAAAGTTGGATTAATTAATTGATTTCTCGCCTGCGAGGCAACATAGCGCAGCGGCGGCGCTGCAGCCGGAACAAAGTCGTAAGTCGCGTGGCGCGAGCGAGAAGAACGCGCGAAAAGGCCTCGTCCGTTCGCTTCGGCACGCGAGCCAAAACGCCTCTCTACGGCGATGTGGGTGGAGTCGCGAGGCCCCCGGGGCGAGCGGCCGGTGTCGAAAACGAGAGCAGCCCCCGACGAATATGGTCGCAGCAGCGGCGGCGACAGGTCGACGCTTCTCGCTGCGCGTGGCGCAGATTCGGGATTTCTTCGGCACGGCTCTCTTGATTCATTGCGTGCCTGATTTACGGGGGCTTGCCAATCGCGATCGTTTCTTCATTGATGAGGCACGAAAAGGATCGAGGGATCAGCGCAATTGGCCTGCAATCGCGGATCGCTCGCCGAATCAATTGCGGCTTTTTGAGTAACGGCGCTGCGAGTATTGGCCGTACCGTTGGAAGAGCCAGCTCGATAAAGTGAAAATAGCGTCTTCGCGATATCGCAGCTTCGGCGTTATTGAGTACGAATCAATTGGGCGAAATTGCCCG